TCACTAATGATGTAAATCGGCTCATCAGCTCTATTTTTTATTATACAAGTAGGCCAAGCCATTTTGCATGTGCATGCACTATTATGTAGTACAGAATTTCCCTATAAATATCAAATAAAGATTATGAGATAAATAAAGATTGAGATCGAAAATATATTTATTATTCAATATAAAATATAAAGTTTCGTTAATAATTTATTTGCATTAAATATAGTAAGTACGTACGTACGTACTTGTCATGAAAATTTCTACCTGGGTACAGTATTATTAAATTACCCCGGTTATCCGGGTTGTCTGGGTAATTCATCACGGTGTACATAAGCATATAATAAAAAATATCCGCGTACCCGGTTCAATCTCTAATTTGCGCCTCACAATAAAAAAAAAAAAAATCTCTAATTCGCATATCGAATATCTGACTAATTTAATTTGATTTGATCGAAATTGATTGGTTAATAATCGCGTCTTATTCATTGTAAATTGGTCTTCTCCTGTTATGTACGTATTTTAAACAGTTAACGCGAAATAACGCGCAGGGATGAAATTACAAATTTCGGCCTAAATTAAGCTTAATTCGGGCGATGATTCTAAGTAACGCCCATGCCCGTTATTTCGCGACAATACGATAATAAAAATTTTTAAAGTTTTCTGAGATTAGTAGAAATCCAATTATTTACGCGATTTTGTTTTGTCAATAAGTCAGAATCATAAAAATAACGTACTGTAAATGTAACCAACTACGTATAAATAATGGTTATATACAATAAAAAAACAATTTTATTTCATAAAATAGTAAAAATATACAACGTTCAAAATTTTAAATATTACGTTATGTATATATTAACTATTATATACCATAATTTTTGTCGTTTTTTTTTTTTTTTTTACAATTAAAACTATATTAAAATTTTTTTTTTTTAATATATTATAAAAAATTTTTTTCATATTTAAAATTTGATGTTTAAACTTAAAAGTTTATGCTTCAAAACTTTTTTCAATTCGTTTGTTGTATCTTGATCGAATTGATTTGATGTTAAATCCACTCTTCGAAGAGATTGGTTAATGAATAAAGAATTAGCAATGACTTTAGATATTTCAGAATCAAAGCTATTTCTACTTAAATCCAAATCGGTAAGCTTCTTGTTTTGTTCTACAGCTTCAAACAACACCTTTCCGATTTCAAGATCATCTACACTTTTACTTAGATATAGATGAGTAAGTGTGTTGTTGATTTTTAAAGCGTTGGCTAAACACTCCATCTCACTTAAAGTTAAATCTATATCGCTTAAATTCAA